AATATTATATATATAAATATATATATATAGTGTGTGTATGTTTGTGTATAGGTATGTGTGTGTGTTTGTGTGTATGTATGTGTGTGTGTGTTTGTGTGTATGTAGTATGTGTGTGTGTGTGTGTTTGTGTGTATGTAGTATGTGTGTGTGTGTGTGTTGTTTTGATGCCATAATTTTACTAGGTAGGCATGTGTAGTTTATAGAGCTAGTGTTGTTCACTGAACTAAAGCGAATTGTGGACTTGTTCAAATTAATGCGCTTAATTCTTCCTGAAAACGCAGATCAGTAGGTACTATGGTATTGCTTGAGTTGCGTAAGTTTTCGAATGACTAAATACACAGTCACATGGTGGATTATCCGTTGCATAACTTGAACACGCAGGAGACCTATCAAAAACTACAAGAAGGGACTTTGTATTGTAGTGCTAGCAGTGCCGCTGTGAACAGCCTGAATGCCATCCCAATGCAACAAACAGCCAGCCTCCATACGGTACCTGAGTCATGTTTTACAACCAGACCAGACAAGTCTCAACTGCGGTCCAATGATAGAGTGTATGCGTCACTGAGCAGACTCGACCGCTATGCAGGCCAGTATGTATCCTAAATACAACGACGAGAAAGCTATAACAGTAGGGGCCGTATATGTGCGATACCAAGACTACAGCGACAGACCAAAATCTAGTGGTAGTGTACAAAAGATCATCGTATCGTGAATAGTTGTGGTCAGCTCAACGGATACGTTTACTCGTTACCAGGAACACTTGCATTGATGTGATTAGGGCATGCTTGTGTGGTACCAGCACATCACTGGTCAAAAGGCGCATGCTGACTATAAACGAGGCATTTCCAATGGTCTGATGGTTGAGTGTATAGTACGAATAGTGTACATCAGAAGGAGAGAGTTTCTGAGTATGAAACTGTGCACGCTTAACAGCTGGCCTTCAAGGAGAGACGGTATTGATCGCAAGGTTAATTGATACTAGATAGCAATGTTAGAGCAGCACGAATATCAATAAATTTATTATATTGATTTGCGATATGAATATGCGTATAGAAAAGCCTATACGCTGTATATTGGAAAACATCTGGACAACTAATGTTAGTATGTGGGGGATACTCCAAGCTACTTACAGTCACTAATTCTAGCAGGAGCAGACCAAATTTCCCGTCTGGCCCATTCTGTGTACAACTGTCGATCATTCGCATAACGGTATTGTCTCCCCTAAACCGCTTGTGATTCTCAACTTCCGTACGGAAATTCTGGAATTGACGAAACGATAGCATTGAGAAAAAACTTCATCCTGAAAATAAATGAAACTATGCGAATATACAGTTTTACAGAAATCATGTACGTTCCGCCTGTATGTATTATATATATATATACAAATGGATATAATATAATATATATATATATATATATATATATATATATATATATATATATACACTACTAACTACTACTACTAACTAACTAACTAGTACGTAGTAGTAGTA